CTTCTGTATAGAGGACCTAGGTCCAAATGCCGGTTCTGCCTTTTGCTACCTGTGTGACCTTCGGCAAGTCGTTTAACCTTTGTGGACCTCAGTTTCTTCATTTAAAAAATAAGATAATTGGCTTTGATAGCCTCTAAGTCTCCTTCTGACTCCAAATCTGTTATTACCTAAGTATCGCTGGGGAAAGTTTTATCCATAATCTGGGCCACTGAGTAACATGTTTGGGAAATGATACAGCAGGAGAAAGACTAAATAGTAAACAAAGAGTATCAGCTCAACAGAGACTTGAGAGAGAAGAAAATGGGGTAAAATACAGGAGACTAAGTCATGACCTCTAGCTTTCTGTCTCTACAAACTCTGTCTTGAAGATGAGCTCCCATCTATTCAACTATTCAATCCATGAAGAAGGCTTCCAAATATCCAAAAGCAACCCATGTTTCATCTCTCTCTGAGAACTAGTCCCACATTTTCAATTGCCTATTGGAGTTATCTACCTAGTTGAATCATCCTCAATATTCATTACCTTTCTGCCAAACTCTACCCTTCATCCTAAATTCCTATTATTGCTGAGGCCACCATCATCTTTCCAGTCAACCAGCTACTTTGGAGTCTTCCTCAATTATTTACTTTAATTTGGCCTTCAATATTCAACCAATCACCGAGTCTCAGTGATGCCATCTCTTCATCATCTCTCCTGCCATTCCCCTTTTCTCTACTCACAACAACCCCATCCTAATTCAGGCCCTCAAAATTTGGACTATTGAAATAGCTTTAGATCATTCTCCATCTATTCTCTTTCCTCACTAATCCTTCTTCCACACAACTAACAAATTCCTATTCCTACAGGATCAGTCTAATCATTTCTCCCACTGGCTCTGGAAATCTGGATGAATTTCCATTGACTTTCAGGATATATGCCAACCTATCTTTCTTGGCTGGTTACATACTACTATCATTCATACACTCCACAACCAAACAAACTTGTCTATTTGCTCATTCTGTGTACATGATATTTTTTTCTCCTTCACAAAGTCTATATTCTGATCCCTGGAATGCTGACTCTCTCTCCACCTCTGCCCCTTGAAATTCTTAGCTCCCTACTCAGGGTCAGCTCAAGTGTCCCTTCAAAAGGCCCTAATTTTTGAAGTCTTTACCATCCCCCAACAAATAACTTTATTTTGACTTCATATATAAAAATTCATATTTGTATAAAAGAGAAATCCCCAAAGCTTAATGTAATCCTTTAATTATTTTGATTTAAAAAAATAATTCAGAGGGTTTTTTTTATGTATTCGGGTTAGGGAAGAGGCAGGAAGGGAATCATAAATTTAGAGATCTTAGCTGCTTTACAGGCCATCTAATACAATCTTCTCATTTTTCAGATGAGAAAACTGAGGTTGGAGAATCTATATTGTAAGTGACAGAGCCAATACTGGAACCTATATTCTCATATCAAGAGTATATATGCAAAACATTGTTCAACCCTCTTCAAGTGTTTTAGTAAACTTTGGCAGCTTGATTTTGAAATAGGATATAAATTTCATGAGAACAAGAAGATAAATATTTTCTCTCAGTTATATTTGATATCTTTGTTCTTGCTGGGCCAGATTAACATGAGAATACTCCTAGATTTCTCCCAAGGATGCCTATGTCTAACCTCCAAAATGGAGATTAATAAGAGCTGAAAGAAGCATCCATTAATATGATTAAAAGGTTGGATAATGGACCCTATGGGAGATGATTAAGAAACTAGAACAGTGTACCCTAGAAAAGAGAATTATTTGAGCAGGGCAAGTACAAAGGAAGGCTTGGTTAGGCAGGGAGGTGGTGTAGGGGAGAGCATGCTGGCATTAGTGGTAGTGAGACCTACAGGATTCAGATCCTGCTTCAGGCATTTCCTAGCTATGGGTCCCAGAGCCATTGACTTAATCTCTCTGGGCCTCATTTTCCTCATACATTAAATGACAACATTGGAGTTAATTGATGGCATTCAAATTTCTTTGAGCTCTGAAGCTATGGTCCTGTGATCTCTTAATACAATCAGTTTTTTTTTCTCTCTTCATTTAGGTGGCAGAAAAGGAAGCAGAGGGGAACATAAACTTTGTTTTGACAGAAGGATGAATTTCCTGATGATATTCAATGCTATATAATGGAAAGGAAAGAGAGCATGAAACTACTGCCCCTGGACAATTTTACAGGATACATTCAAATCTGTTAGGCCTGATCAAGGGCATTGCTAGATAAAGGCAAAGGAATGGACCAGGATCTCTTAGAATCCCTTCAAGTTTCACAACCTAGGACTCCAGAGGTCCATCAGCTGAGGTATTCAGTCAAGTATTGAAGCTGACCCCATGAAGACATACAAGATGCAGGAGAGTTCTTCAGCATTTATGCATTCATCACAAGGCACTTACTTTATCTAAGGTGTGTTCTTTGAGCAATATAGAAAGCTAAAGCACAAGTCTAGGTGACTGTGTGTGACACACAGACAGAAAGAGGGAGAATGAATATAAAATGATTGCCTCTTAATTTTCAGATGAAAACCTGCATGCAAATTCACATATCATCTACTAACAAATATAGTCAAAGTTGAGCCTTTAGAATGAGGTTTTTTCTTCCCAAATACAACTTATATTTCTATAAATGTCTTAAAAAACCCAAATACAGGAAGAAAGACAAATAGAGAGACAGAGGACCTAAAATAGAGAGACAGTAAGGAGGACAGAATGATAGATAATAGACAATGAGACAGAGAGACAAATATAGAGAGAGCAAACCATTTGTGATCTGGGTACAAATTCATTAGAAGGCATTTAATAAAAATGATATTCATATTAGAAAATGCATTTGCTTTTTTCATTTTGAAACAAAAATGAACCAAAAGCAAAAGACTCCCTAAATTGCATCTTTTAAAATAAATGCAACAGATAATCGTCCCCTTGAAAGAGACTCATAAAGAGCTAAATTCATTCCAAAGGCTAACCAATTCTCTTAGAAATGACTCGACACAAGCTTATGATCTAGCTACAAAATGTTTGAGGTGCCTTCTTGGAAGACAAAGCAAGCTGCAATTGAAATTCTTTCTGTGTCCTAAAGACCAGCAAATAAACCGAAACAACTGCTCTTTCACTTCACTTTTGCCGTAATTGACTGGAGCCATGGTTGATTTAACACCCCAAAAGGCAAGAATGGAGGAACATGCATATTGAAAGGGAAGCTAACATTGGCTCTCCATGGGCTAACATTATTTAACAGCTCTGTCAGGATGCTATTATATTGCCTACACATACTAATATATTCCTGCTTTGTTGAAAGGACAATTTAGTTTCTCGAAAATCTGCCTCAATTTAGCAGTTCCCTTGAATGATATTACCTCCCACAAACTGTGAGCTAACAAGGAGAAAACCCTTTGAGGATTCCCACCCTGTACCAAACAGAGATCTGTCTAGTGTATATACTGAATCCTAAAAGAGTACAGTAAGGAGTTACATGAGGTTAGCCACTCTAAGGACTGCAATGCTCCTATTGCCTGGAAAACCTCTAAATAATTTCCACTCCATTTACCTGCCGCATTCCGGAGATGACATAATGAGGCAGAATGAGCTTCAGACAAGACCACACAGCCTATGCTTGTGACAAATTATACCTACCATTAAGAAGAAAAAGTCAGAAAAAAAGGATGTGCATGGTTGAAAAAGAAAGAAATGTTTTAATCATGAGCCAAGTTTCATCATTGTCATCACCCATTGCTGAAATCAAAGGCATCAAGGGAGAAAAGGACTCAAGGAATGTTCTTGAAGAGGAGGTTTAAGGTACACCAGCATTTCTGGGGTGATGGTCTATCTTATAATATTTAGTGTACAATATAGGTGCACAAAAAAGATTCAGGTATGTCTACATGATACAATACAGATTGTCAAATGGAACTGATAAACTCTGTAAGTTGAGGTTTGAGAAGCAGTATTGTCACTTGCTTCTAATCACACAGGATATTTACTTTCTTTAAAAGTAGACTGCCTTGCCTCTCCCATTTTCCAACTCTTTGCTGAACGATCCATTCAGAAACCATACATTAGCTATGAAGAGCAAATTTGTCTCTCACCAATCACATGCAGACGAACCATTGACCGTATCATCCTCTCCCCCATACACACTCAAAAAACTCCAATGGTTCTTTTCTTGACTTTTAATACAAAATGCTGTTTGATATCCCTTTGTAACCTAGTCTCCTCCTATCTTTCCAGTCTTCTTATACCTTACACCCTTAAATGTACTCCTCAATCCAGTGACACTGGCCTCCTGGCTGTTCCACGAACAAGACATTCTACCTCTTTGTCTCCTCTCCAGACCCTTTCCCTAGCTGTCTCCCATGCCTGTAATGCTCTCCCTCCTTGGTTCCCACTAACCTCCCTGGCTTCCTTTTAAGTCTTAACTAAAACCCTACCTTTTATGGGAAGTGTTTCCCAACCCCTCTAAATTCCAGTGCCTTCCCTTGTTAATTATTTTCTATTTATCTGGTACATAGCTTGCTCTGAATGCATGTGTTTGTATTACATTATAAGCCCCTTGAGAGCAGGCGCTGTCTTTTGCCTCTTTGTGTATCCCTAGTGCTGAGCACTTAGTAGGTACTTAATAAAAGTTTATGGATTGATTGCTTTTCAGCAATAAAAGAAACACCTAGGTAGAACATCCTATAAGGTTACACACACACACACACACACACACAAAACAGACACACAATACACACACACACACAACACATATTGTCTTGTCTGTTCTGCTTAATTTCACTTTACCTAAATCATTAGTTCAAGAGAAACAATGAATGGAAAGCCACAGTGGGAGTTATAAACCAAATACAATTACATTTAATTAACAAGCTGAAATTAGCTAAGTGATTTGTTGTCCAAACAGTTAAAGCAGCCTTGAGTTCATTTCCTTTTTCCAATGTCCCCACCAAAGACCCAACCTGTGTTATTACCCTTCTCCAACATACTTACTGGGAATCTGTTGGATCCTGTGGACAACTACAAATGCATCAGACAATCCCACTTTCACTGGATGGTTGGTTGTACTTATCTGGGTCACCAACACAGGAATCTGGAGATGAAACAGAAAAAGAAAAGCTAATTAATGTGTGTTAGTCCTGGAAAATCTCTCAAGTGAGAAAAAAAAATGAAAACAAGACAAGAAAATAATCAAGTGTGATCCTTGCTGATTCTGCATTTGTAATTGAGGGGAAATAAGGAGTACTGAAGACTAAAGATACAGCGATAAGAATGGGGACAGAAATGATGATTTCATTGGTATTTGAACTCCCAGTGAAGAATTACCTCTGTCACTGCAGGTTGACACCTTTTCTGAAACTTATCATCTTAGAGAGCTGCTTACAGCAATTATAAGCTAAATCACTTGCTCTGGACCATACAAAGTATGTATCAGAGGTGGGGTTTGAACACTGGTGTTGCTGGCTCGCAGGCCAACTCTGTATCCAACTTTGCTAAAATTAAAGTATATCTTATATGACAAAAAAGATATAAATATGACACATAATATGTCACATATATGATATACGATATGTATGTATGCACAAATAATATATGTGTATTTACACACACACACACACACACAGGGCAAAAGATACTGCATTACAAATTCTGTAATTGAACATCAAAGTCTTCATAAGAGTCTTTCAGTTTTAGTTTGTTTAAAATATTGAGAAGCAACACCAGGTAAATAATAAGAGGGTTACCTCAGATACTCACTAGCTACATGACCTTGGACAAGTCACTTAATCTCTGATTCCCAGTTTCCTCATCTGTAAAATGCTTTTGACATTTCTACCATCTGACCCACAGAGCTGCTGTGTGCAAAACACATTGAAACCTTAAAGTAAAATGCAAATGGAAGCTGTTATCGTGAATGAAAGAAAGCATAAAAGCAGCCTCTTGACCTGTGGATTGCTGGCATTTATAGAGATGGTACTTTAAGGTTCACCAAGTGTTTTACATACATTATTTCATTTGCCAACCACAGATGTTTGATAATAAAGAGTCCTCAGAAGACCATAAAAGTATATCAGCAAGGACCAGACTGTCAAACTTATGTTGTTCAATTGACAAATAATAACACACACACACACACACACACACACATATGTATATGTATATGTATATGTATAATATGTATATGTATATGTATATGTATATGTAGGGACCCAATAAATGTCTGCTGATGCTAAGCAATTAAAACATATTAAAAAATCCTTTTTTTTTTCTGTCTCTGGAATCTGAACATAATCACATTCTATTTCAAATGAGATAATACAGAAGAAATATATAGAAACCATTTTATTAATAGGAAAGTGCTATATGATATGACAGCATTATCAACTTTTTGGAGAAAAGAGGCAATTTCTAGGCCTTTGAGTTCACTAATGTAGGGAATTCACAGTATGGAAACTCACTCCACCGATGTAAACCAGCACATTTAACATTTTTAAACTATCTATCTATCCATCCATCCACCCATCCATCCATCCATCTATCTATCTTTTTTGTCCTTTATAGTCTTACAGAGTTACCCAAAATCACTGAGAGATTCACTGACTTAGCTGTGGTCACACAGATGGTATGTGCCAGGAGCAGAATTTGCACCCAAGTCTTTCTGATTTTAAGGCTGCCCCTTAATTCACTCTGTATTGTTGTCTTTCATTGATTTACTGTGTTATAATGAATGATGCTTTGAAGGTCTCTTTCCCCTACATTAAATGACCCCAGACTGCTATACCTTTTCACTTCTCATGCCTGCATTTCGTGGGTTTTCTGTCTCTTCTGTTGTCACTGTTATCTGTCACTTCATCAGGAAAACTCAGTTATCCTAACTCCATGTTATGTGTTCCTTCTTCCTATTCCATGCTACCTTTCATAATTATTTGTAAAATGAGGGAGTTGAGTTAAATGTCTTTTAATGTCCCTTCCACTTCCACATCTGTGATCTTCTATCATCATTATTACTTTTTCTTCTTATGATCTTGGTTGTAGAAAAAAAAACTCTTAAGGATGACAAATAATGCTACTAGGGAACAAATATTTGTCAAGTGGCCTGAAACAACCCCAAAGACATTTTTTTCCTATTTAGTTAGATTTAATAACTTACAAGTGGCAGCATTTCCCAGAATACCCTGCAACACTGAAAGTCAAGCCTACATGTTGAACTTTAAAATTCTTGACTAAAACTCCCACTCAACACCATGAAGACAGTCCTCTCAAGGGCATATTTTGTTTTCTATTTTCAATTCTGATTGAAAACAAAATTCTCATCTCCTGGAGCATCTACCTTTTTTTTTTAAATACAAAGGAAAATAGGAATATCTGAACAAAGAATACATTTACTATATAGGAAAGGCATAGAAAGATCAACTGTGGAAACCAAACTGACTTTGGGAAAGACTCAGTGGGAGGCATAATTACTCCAATACAAATAAAAGTAGAGATTAGTCTTTCTCCAAGAAATAAAGGGACAAAAAAAAAAGTTTCCCTTGTGAGGAGAAATGTCTATTGGAAAGGTAATCAGATTGTGGCAGAGAGGATTCACAGCAACTGCATTAAAGAACACTGTCTTTTCTTTCCCTGGGCTTTTCCATTCAATTACATGGAAGGAGTATTTCATTAATATTGATAAAGAAGGGGAGATCAAACCATGCTTCAAGCATTACTATTCAACAAGCAAAGATAAACCTGAAACTTTTCCTGTAGGAACTGTCTTCCTTTTAAAAATGTATTTTAAATTGGATTGCCATTTTCTTCAAAAAACACAGTCAACAAGCATTTATTGAATACATAGTTTGTGTAAGTGCTGGAGATACAAAGAGAGGCAAAGACTATCCTTGACCTCAGGGAGCTCACATTTCAAAGGTGGAGATAAAATGTAAATAATTAGAGAAACAAAATAGGGGGGCGGAGCCAAGATGGCCCAGTAAAATCAGTGACTTGCTTGAGCTCTCCACCAAACCTCTCCAAATACTTGTAAAAAATGGCTCTGAACAAATTCTAAAGCAGCAGAAACCCACAAAAAGACAGAGTGAAACAAATTTCCAGCCCAAGACAATCTGGATGGTTGATTGGAAAGATATACTGCACCAGGCTGGGAGAGGAACCCAGTTCGGTGTGGGCACACAGGCCTCAACAAACCTGGAACAGGTCTCAAGGGACTGAGGTAAAGGAAAAACTGAGAGTGATACAAGAAAAATCGTGAAAAACAAGTCAACAGCTTGCTAAAGGAGACCCCAAAAAATATTGAAGAAAATTACACCTTAAAAAATAGCCTAACCCAAATGGCAAAAGAGGTCCAAAAGAGCCAATGAGGAGAAGAATACCTTCAAAAGCAAAATTGACCAAATGGAAAAGGAAGCCCAAAAGCTTACTGAAGAGGGGGCAGCTAGGTGGCTCAGTGGAAAGAGCACGGGCCCTGGATTCAGGAAGACCTGAGTTCAAATGTGGCCTCAGACACATAACACTTACTAGCTACATGACTCGGGGCAAGTCACTTAACCCCCTAAAACCCCCCCCAAAAAAAAAGCTTACTGAAGAAAATACTTCCTTAAAAATTAGAATGGAACAACTAGAACGCTAGTGACTTTATGAGAAATCAAGACATGGTAAAACAAATTCAAAAGAATGAAAAAAACAGAAAAAATGTGAAACATCTCATTGGAAACACAACTGACCTAGAAAACAGATCCAGGAGAGAGAATTTAAAAATTACTGGACTATCTGAAAGCCATAAAAAAAAGAGTCTAGACATCATCTTTCAAGAAATTATCAAGGAAAACTGCCCTGATATTTTAGAACCAGAGGGCAAAATAGAAATTCAAAGAATCCACTGATCACCTCCTGAAAGAGATCCCCAAAGGAAAATTCCTAGAAATATTGCAGCCACATTCCAGAGTTCCTAGGTCAAGGAGAAAATATTGCAAGCAGACTGAAAGAAACAATTCAGGTATTTAGCAGCTTCTGCATTAAGGGACTGCAATGCTTGGAATATAATATTCTGGAGGGCAAAGGAGGTAGGACTACAACCCAGAATCACCTTCCCAGCAAAACTGAGTATAATCCTTCAGGGGGAAAAAATGGATATTCAGTGAAATAGAGAACTTTCAAGCAATCTTGATGAAAAGACCAGAGCTGAATAGAAAATCTGACTTTCAGATACAAGACTCAAGAAAAACATGAAGAGGTAAACAGGAAAGAGAAATCATAAAGGACTTATTATGGTTGAACTGTTTACATTCTGCACGGAAAGATGATATTTGTAACTCATGAGTCCTTTGTCAGTATTAGAGTAGTTGGAGGGAAAAAGTATATGTATGTATATATCTATATCTATACATCTATCTATATAGATAGATGTATAGATATAGATAGATAGATAGATACATACATACATACATACATACACACACAGCACAAGGTGAGTTGAAGATGAAGGGGTCATATCTGGAGAATAAAATTAAGGGGTGAGAGAGGATTATACAGAAAGAGAAAGGGACAGGTAGAATGGGGTAAATTATCTCACATAAAACAGATAAGAAAAGGCTTTTACAGTGGAGGGGAAATAGTGGAAGGTGAGACGGAATGAGTGAATCTTATTCCCATTGGATTTTGCTTAAGGAGAGAATAACATACACACTCAACTGGGTATGGAAATCTATCTTAGCCTACAGGACAATGGGGGGTAAGGGGACAAGAGAGCAGGAGAATGATAGAGAGGAGGGCAGATTGGGGGAGGGGCTAATCAGAAGCAAACACTTCTAAGGAAGGACAGGGTCAAAAGAGAGAATAGAATAAATGTGGGGTGGGATAGGATTAAGGGAAATATACTTAGTTTTTCACAACATGACTACTATACTATGCAAGTATTTTGCATGACTATTTTTTAAAAAAAATTTAAAAAAATAAAATGAAAAACAAAATACTTATAAAGTATTTATTAAGTGTTTATTATGTGCCAGGTACTGTGCTAAGTTCTTGGCATACAAATATAACCAAATGACACAGCCTTGCCCTCAAAGAACTGAGAAAATTAATTTGATTCTTTAT